CCTGTGTGTCCATCAACACATGAATGGAGAAAGAAAATGTGGTATCTACACACAATGAGGTATTACTCTGCTGTAAGGAAGATGAACTTGAGTCACTGGAGGAACATGGATGCACCTTGAAACCATAATTTTAAGTGAAGTAAATCAGACACACAAGCTTCAATACTGCATGGTCTCTCTTCTATGAGAAACTCAAATTAGAAATAAAGCACAAAAAGGATACATAATCCGAAGCAGGGGTACATCTTTCTGAAATGGGAAAGGTATCAAGGGATGCAGGAGGGGAGGTAGAGAGGATGAAAAAAGGAATTAAGGTATGTTATGTATGTGGACCCACTCCATATGAGGAATGTAAAGCGTATGGACTGCAACAAGTACTAATAGAAAATAAAAAATGGCTGGGAGTGTGCCTCAGTGTGAAGGCCCTGGGTTCAATTCCCAGTACCACAAAAAAGAATACACAAAGCAGAACATGAAGCAGGACACCAAGTTCTCTCCCAGAGTGGCAGGAGCTGATACGGCATCCACCGCATAGGGGGCTGATAAGGATTTAGGTTGAGATGCAGCCTGAACTCCCCTCCAGGAGTTTCCAAAGACTAGCGTAGGACCTGGTGCCAAACTGTCTAGGCATCTGTATCTTAATACCCATTTCAGATGATCCTGGTGGGTTTGGGAGGCCCTGCTATAGGCAGGCAGGATGATCACTTTACACAGTACATTGGCTCCTTTTTGTTCTTCCCAAGCTTTTAGTTGGAAAGTTCAACTTCATCGCAGGTGTGCTAGAGGCATACATACTTGGGCCAGAATATTAAAAACATGGGTGACCACTATCACACCTCTAAACCGGTAAAGTGGCCAGAAAATATGCCCTCAAGGCAAGAAGAATCTTGTGGAACACAAACCTCTTTTGAGGTCCAGGAGCCTCTTTTCAAAAGGATACTCTTCCTTCCAAGCCAATTTTAGAGATCTTGAGTTTTGTTTGATCAAAAACAGTAACAATTCCTTTATAGAAAGCCTTAAGCCCAGGTCCTTGGACTCAGAATCCTGTGCTTTTCACGTCATTTCTGTATTTTGTTCTATCTATACCCTCCTGACTCAAGATCATAAGATGTTCTAGAGATACTAGCAGTGTGCAGTGTTTAGGCACAGAGCCTCAACCTGACAGTTTGAAGAGGCCCGAGGAAATTGCAAAGTAGCTTTTTCCTACTCTGAATGCTGCTGCTTGCTCAGAGCCCTATCATTGCTTTGAAGAATAAGAATGTTTCAGTTCAGAGTACTTACTGAGGGAGGAAAGAGTTGTCCAGGGGAAGGTTCATGAGAGCTCAAGGAGGGGCACAGCCTAGGAAAGCAGCTGGGGAGACCTGAGTCCAAAGATCAGAACCACTGATGCCTGAGGGACACAGTGCACATGTGTCTTGGTTTGCCCAGGATAGTCTGTCTATGACTGCTGTCCCTCGGTAATGATTAACACTCTCCCACTGTCAAAGGTATCTTAGTCATACAACAAATGATATGGCCACCCTAATTAGGAAGGTAATGGAACCCCTTCTTTCCCTGTTGTTTTCACTCCAGAAACTGCTTGGAAAAAGAAACAACTTTCAGACACGAGGATAGTTGCGCTCTTTTATGAGAGAGATTGCCATTATTGATTTTTAAATAAAAAAGCATAAATCATATTGTGTACATTCAAAGGAAAATGTTGCCAGGCTTGGAGGTGCGTCCCTGTAATCCCAGCGCTCTGCAAGGCTTAGTCAGGAGGATCACAAGTTCTAGCCCAGCCTGGGCAACTTAGTGACTTAGTAAGACCCTGTTTCAAAAATAATTAAAAAGGGCTGGGAATGTAGCTCGGTGTGAAGGCCCTGGTTTCAATCCCCAGTACCTCAAACAAAAAGTCTATTAGACTCTGAACTACCATGTGATTGAATTTAGTGCTGCCAACACTATTCCTAAGTATGAATTAATGCTTCCGGCCCTACCTATTTTTCAGATAGTTCTCTGGGCACACCCTAGCCACACTAGTACTTGTATGATTGCACTGACATCTTGTGGTCATTTCTAGGTTTTTCTCTAGGTAGCTCCCGTACCAGATATTTTTAGTCCGTACCTCATATTTCATCAAAGCAACTTTTATGTGAGCCGTACAGTAACTAAGCATAACACCCTAATTCATAACAAGTTGCTAATCGCTAGTAGTAATGTATTGATTTTTTCTCAAGAGGTACTGAGATGAGAAGCATGGATGGTAGTGTGGGAAGAGCCCACAGTAAAAATAATAAATAACATCAAGAACTGAAAATGTTGGTGTGATTTCAGGTTTCTAAGGGAGTTACTTTTACATAGATATGTCTTTTCTGAAACGATGCCCAACAGGCCAAACTAGTGTGGATGTGATCAAATGTCAACTAGAGAAATTCTTTTTAAGCCAAAATTTAGACATGGTAAACTCTTACTGGTAGTGTCCGGCTAACAAAGAAAGGCAGGGCAGGTGGAGGAGGAAGAGGAGAAGTCAGATGCAGAAAAAAGTGTAGCTTCCCTTTGTTTTCCATGTTTCAGAAAGACGTGAAAAGGAAATGTTTGCATATCCAAGCAACTCTTCACAATCCATCTTACTTTTAATTTACAGTCACTTCACGGGGTTTCCCACAGAAGACATTTTATTCCCAGCATACCATAAGAAAGGACACTAAGAATCCTGGTATTCACTGGAGCAACAGTTTAATCCTCCTTCCTATTCCATTTAAGTGACTGTAGGCAAGAGACCTATCAAAGTCCTTGATCTTACATGACTAAAATCTCAGAAAGAAAGAAAGAGAGAGAGAGAGAGAGAGAGAGAGAGAGAGAGAGAGAGCGAGCTCCTCTTAATTCTCATGCCATCAGGGAAGTATCACCAATGTATGAAACAAGAACATTCAAGTAGCTGTAATGAATGAGTTATCTAGGTGTCTAGCATGTCTCAGAAAGTGTAAACTGCCTCTCATTTGCCTCCTTCTAATAAAAAGTACTGAATCTATAAATGCAAAACTACATATATTTAATAAAACTTTGAAAATGAGCCTGCCAGTAGGAGTTTGCAGTGGCATTTTTGTTGTTGTTGTTTTGGTTTCTTTGAGAGAGGGTTTTTACTATGTAGCCCAGGCTGGTCTCGAACTCACAGCGATCCTCCTGCCTCAGCCTCCCGAGTGCTAGGATTACAGGCATGTGTTACCACACTCAGTTTGCTATAGATTTTTTTTTTATACTGGGGATCAGACTTGAGGACCTTGCCTTTGCAAGAAAGGTGGCGGAACCACTGAGCTAAATCTCTGGCTTGCTGCAGCTTTTTATACTACCCTCCCAAGCCCTACACCCTGCCGCCTTGCTTTTTTTTATGGTCAAAACCCAACAATTACAAAGTTTAGAGTCTTCAAAAACACACCAGATACCAGGCTGGATAAGGCTGTGCTTTATTACATGCATAATTACAAATCTGTGCTAAGTGAAAATGTATAAAGCAATGGTGACCTGGATTTAAGCCACACAGAGAAAGGACTGGACAATCCCATGAACCCTTCTGGCAATGTCCATCCCATTGCCTTTAACGTGATTGCTTCCATTTCTTACAATTTGCATAGCACTTACTTGACAAAGTACTTTTCATTCATTGTCTCAGTTTATCCTCACAACAACCCTGTGAGGTAGGTAGGGCAATTAACACTATCCCCATTTTACAGATGGGAACACAGAGGCACAGAGCGGTTAAGATCTCAAGGCTAGTTAGTAAAAGCATAGGGAACAGAAACCAGGTCTCCTAACTCCCTGTCGATGTCTTCCTTTTTACACTGTCGCTATGCATGACCAGGGAGCAGAAAAAAAGTGAGCAGAGAGCCATAACTTTGGTTCAAACTGTGCCTATGAACAGGTGAGGATAAAGCTAAGAAAGCATAGCTAAAGGTTTGGCGACACTCAGATAAACAATTGGAACAGCTCAGCACCAAGCTTCCCATGGAAACTCAGGCTTTGTCAGCTTTGGTTGAAGCCAGTTTCTGGATATGTAACTACTGCTCATTCACATTAGCTTCCTGTAGCTGAAATCTGACAGGTTTTCTTGGGCTACTGCAGTTGGAGCCAGTCCTACAGATGAGCTTTTTACAGAGATATTCACATGGTGGCCCACAGGCTGGAATCCGGCTCCTCTGATCCTTTTGGCCTCAGTGGCTCACCCAAAGGCTGGTATAATTCCAATAGCCAAAAATGAATGGGCAGAGGAAAGAACAAGAGGCTGGCCTTGGTCAAATGAAGACAAGTCATCTTCATGACATCACTGTCACCCTTCAGTGACATGACCAAGATGCTGTCAGGCCCAACTCCTTTCTGGCCCATACCTGGTTAGCAGCATAGCTTTAAAAGACAGTTTAAGAGAACAAAATGTTAAACATATTATTTTCTTGAATGGAATAAATTCATAACCATTACACAGTCCCAATGGACCAAATATATAATAAAAAAGTAAAT